GGGAAGGGTGAATGCGGCCAAGTACAGGGATATCCTGGACGAAAACCTTCTCTAGAGTGCTCAGGACCTCAGACTGGGCCGAAGGTTCACCTTCCAACAAGACAATGACCCTAAGCACACAGCTAAAATAACGAAGGAGTGGTTTCACAACAACTCCGTGACTGTTCTTGAATGGCCCAGCCAGAGCCCTGACTTAAACCCCATTGAGCATCTCTGGAGAGACCTGAAAATGGCTGTCCACCAACGTTGACCATCCAACCTGACAGAACTGGAGAGGATCTGCAAGGAGGAATGGCAGAGTATCCCCAAATGCAGGTGTGAAAAACTTGTTGCATCATTCCTAAAAAGACTCATGGCTGTATTAGCTCAACAGGGTGCTTCTACTAAATACTGAGCAAAGGGTCTGAATACTTATGACCATGTGATATTTCAGTTTTTCTTTTTTAATAAATCTGCAAAAATGTCAAATTCTGTGTTTTTCTGTCAATATGGGGTGCTGTGTGTACATTAATGAGGAAAAAAATGAACTTAAATGATTTTAGCATATGGCTGCAATATAACAAAGAGTGAAAAATTTAAGGGGGTCTGAATACTTTCCGTACCCACTGTAGATAACAACACTGTAGGTTTATTTCTGTTGCAAATGTTAATGTTGTGCCAAGTCGTAAGCTGTTTCAGGTGTGTAACAGGTCTGTTTTTACCATCTTGCAGGACTTGGCATTGGCAACATGTTCTATGTGTTCTATGAGGACGGTATCAAAGTCATCCAGCCGGTGGCATGTGAGATACAACGACACATTAAGCCCAGTGAGAAGCTGCTGGCTCTGCAGGTGAGTGCTCGAGCGAAAGAAACCACGATAAAAGTGATTCACTTTCACTGGACCATCCCAGGCATCTGTGAGAGCTGGAGCTGTGAGGAGCAGCACATGGGCTTTACTGTTGGCTGTGATCATTCTTTATGATGTACTATAGAGCTAAATGTGAGGAGCTTCCAGCAGTATTTTCCACAATGTAAATTCCCATTTTCCCCTTTCCTTTTAGTAATGACTTCAGCATCCTTCAACTCAGAAAGTCAGCAGCATCCTGGGTATTTAAATTGATACGGAGAGGAATCCAGTCACAGGTTCAGAAAGAGTGCTGTAGCAAATTCAACACTTTGTTGTGAATACAGCTCAGTCTGGAAGCACAGATTAAAACAGCTTTGTGTTTTAATGATTGAATGATGTGAATGAGTCGTGAAATGACCCCTGACATGATATGCTTTGTTTTAATTCTGAGGTTTAGAGAAAGAGAGTAAACCAGATTTTATTCTGCCATGCAAAGTACTTTGGTCAACTGGATCTTGTTTTTAAAGTGCTACATAAATAAATCTGATTTGAACCAGATGAGAAAGTGTGGTACAGTAAAACAGCGTAGAGCAAATCCCTGGCACACAGATGTCAGATTTCTAGCTTTACATTCTCCACTCTTGATAAGACACTGTACAGTTTTAAATTGACTGAATTTTAAAAGTGACAGAACAGCAGCATTTTTGAATTAGACATCTGAAAACATGATCATTCAGCCAACGCACGTAGTATTTCATATTAACGCTTTAAGAGATAAAAGAGTAGTAAATGCTTGGTATGTGGCTTCTGACCTTATCACACGAGTTTCGTAAGGAGACTGGGGAGTGATGATAAACACACCTCACTCTCAGAGCCTACATGTGGATGCTGCAGGTAGAGGTGGAGGTGATAATGCAGTGAGCGGCGTAGAACGTGACCCTCTGTGAGAAGACTGATAGAAGTGTTGCAGAGTACATACTGTATATAACAGTTCTACTCAGGTTGCCAGCCATAGGTGACTCATTGGTTTAAGTGTAATAATTCAAGACATCAATTAAATTATTCTTAGGTTATGTAACTCCAAACGATCAGAACACCTGCACATCTGTTTTGTACAGGTGCTGAGTCTAAAAAACCCTAATGATTTATACCTGTCAAGGACTGAACTGTTGAACACTGCCTTTAAAATGTTCAAATACATTAGGACATTTTTGTCAATGAACCAGATCATGTAATAAACTAGAAATGTAACTGTATGGGGGGCGTTCAGCAGTGCGGTGAGTCCTTGGCAGGTATAAATCAAAAACTGCACATAATAAAATAGGAAGTGCTAAAACATTTATGATGTAGATGTTTTATGGTGAACTCCTGTGTTTGTGTTTCTGAATGGCAAGGGACGTGTACTGACTGATGCAGTAACAGCTACTGAAATTCAGTCATGTTGTACATGTGAATTCCTGCATAGATACATAAGTGCACACAGATCAGATTTTACTGTGTGTCCTCAAGCATCTGTATGATTGATAGTAATGCCATTGCCTCATCCTGGCAGCGATAGGTCCAAAAGGAAATGTAGTGCTGACCTCTTTCAATCCTACTTTGCATATTAGTGGCCAGACCGCTGTGGTTGGCACTTAACTTTTTAAATCTCAATGAAAATAAGACAGAGTGTGTGCTGTTTGGTGACCTGGCGAACTTAACTGCTTCTAATCAGGGCCTGGGTCCCCAAGCTTTACATCTGAAGTTGACTGTAAAAAACCTAGGGGTGATGTTTGATGGCGACTTGAGGTTTGACAAGCAAATCAACTCAGTTGTGAAATTTAGCTTCTTCCACCTGAGGCTGTTAAGCAAGGTCAAGTCATTCCTTTCTTTTAATGATTTTGAGATTGCAATCCACGCTTTTATCACTTCTAGACTTGATTATTGCAATGCTCTACACTATGGTGTTAACCAGTCTTCTCTCACTCGTCTCCAAATGGTGCAAAATGCGGCTGCTCATCTTTTGACAAGTACTAGGAAATTTGAGCATATAACCCCGGTACTGGCTTGTCTCCACTGGCTTCCAGTCCATTTTAGAATTGATTTTAAGTTATTGATTTTTGTTTTTAAGGCTCTTAACGATTTGGCTCCTTTTTACCTCACTGAATTAGTGCATTGGCGACATTGATTTGGCTTGGCTTTTAATACACAGTAGGGCCTGATGCATTCCTTTTAATTTTAATTTATTGAACATATGTTAACTGTGTGTCTGTGCTATTGTGCTGTTTCATTTGTATTTGCACTGATCTTATTTACTCTATTTTAGTCATTTATTTTTTTCTGCCATGTAAAGTACTTTGATCAGCTGGATGTTGTTTTTAAAGTGCTATATAAATAAATTTGATTTGATTTGTGTTACTCAGATATGTTTTTAACTTAGCTTAGACTAGAGTCCACCAGGGTGGTAAAATAGTGACATTATAACCTTTTTCCAGGGAACATCTATCTACTCATACTGAAGGAGTAAATGTTGCTTTATGAGTTGAGAAAAACTCATCTTAATTTCATCATATTGACATTGGACAGCATTCAAATAGAAAATTATAACAGAGTAACACAAAAGGGGTTAGTATTAAAGTATAAATGGTGTTTAGTCAACTTTATGAACCCTGTGTTTTGGCCAGTGCTGTAAACACAATATTAGTATTAAAGTATAAATGGTGTTTTGGCCAGTGCTGTAAACACAATGTAGACATAACTTTGTTGTGGCGAACACATTAGAAAACTGTTGCCTATTAACACATTGAGCAGACACCTACTGTACAGTATCATCATGATGTAGGGAATCATGTTTTTACAGGTCCAATATTGGCTCAATTTGATCTCCACAAACTCCACAAAAGATATTAACCTCAACCCCTTCTGGCTATTAACTCTCCAGAATCTTCTCTAGCTGGCTGATAGGCTTCTCTCTCTGTTAGTTGGTGCTGGGCAGGTGGTGTACTGTGGCTCTAACTGAGCACACTTGTGCTAAGAGCAGCAAAGTTGTTGGCAATGAGTTGAAAGAAGATAAACTGTATAGCCGAGGGGACTGCAGAATCAGGTGATATTCTGCTAAGTATTAAACAATGCCCAGGGAAGATGAGAGACATCATACAGTGTTGGGTCTATGTTTAAAGACCACATTCAGTCAGAGGGGATTTCACCTCTCAGCGGACTTTACACGCAGCCTTCCACTGATTAGCATTTAAGTTTCAAACAGCAAAATAGATACCTATTAGATTTATGTGTTCTCAAGTGGATGCTTTCCTCTGAGCTGCCTTTTATCCTGGAGCCCCATGTTGATTGGATGGCTGTTATACATAAAGCAATGCCATGAATGTACAACAATCCACCAAGTGTTCCTCCCAGAGGTGTTTGTATTAGGATATCAATCACTGTGAGGGCAGTGATGCCTGCTTCTCAGCTGTCTTAGGGGATTTCTGTGTGACTACATGAGGCCGCTCGCAGCTTGGTGCTCACATTTTCTCAATCGCAGAGGAGCATTGATTGATTTGTTTATGGTAATCGCACAGCCAATCCATTATCCTTAACTACCATAAAGAGTGTTTTACTGTGTTACACACAGTATTGGGGCAAACAGTGTGATGTTCATTTGTAGTGGAGTCATTCTGGGAAGTGTCTTTAGTTTGCTTCCCTCTTCTATCACCAGAAGCAGTGGTGTAGCAGGAAAATGCCTGGATCCACAGGGATGTGACATTTGGGTGGAAATAAATGTATACTAATCTGCAGCTTTTAGAAGAAAAAAAAAGTACCTCAGTGTGAAAATGTAAATAAACAGAATCTGTATCTCATTGTTTTTGTAACTAAGGCTCAATTATCTACAAGATTTTAAAACTGCATCTGGTGAAATACCTTGAAATGAGTAGAACATCATTCTGTCAGTTTATTGCAGTTTGGATTGAGACTTCGGAGAAACACCTTTAATCCCTTTACCTTTTTAACACTTTCCTGTAAAATTCCCATTTTTGACACTTGGGATGTTACTGCCTCACTGTTTCTGCAGTTTGCTCCCCACAGGGGGATGATTAACTGAGGAGAATCAAATCCCTCATATTTATCTTTTGAAATTTCATCATCATGTAAAAGACAAAATCCTTGCCAAGATATTTCACAGTAGTGTTTTTTTACAGTATATCTGAGATAGAGTATTGTATTATTTCTGGCAGAGCTCCAAGTGCTGCATAATGCCATATGCAGTAAAAAGTTTTGTGAATCCCTGACAAGTACATACTGTTCTATATCAGGAGAGTGTAGGCATTTACATAAAAAGGGGAAAAAACATATCTGCACATTTAAGAAGCCGACAGTTGCCACACAAATTCCGTACACTTAGTGCACCCACACATACAGACATATGCGACACACAAAAACACAGGAAGGATTACAGCCGCCTCCATTCACACCCTCAGCTGGCCATCAGATGTTCAATTTCTCACATCTTAAAGGTGCAATAAGTAAGATATTTACAGCCATGTAGCACAAAATGACCACAGTGTGTTGGGACAAGGAAGGCGATAACATATCCTTCAGTGTAGGGATTTCTGGCTTTTCAAACCAATTTTACAATCTGTTTCCGATCAAAAACACAAAAACAGATTGCGCTATAACTGGGTATTGAAAGATATTACATCGACAAAGAATTGAAAACCTTGTGAAGCCAAATGTGCCAAAGCTACACTGATTTTGCATCATGAAATGACACTCACCTACATGTTTTGGCTTAGTCTACCCAAATTTGCAGTCTTGACCCACCTTTCCAGAGAGAATACAGGTGACATAACACTTCCTCATCTGTGATATAGTTCAGTAAAGTTCACAAATTTCCCAAGTTAGAAAATTTAGCCTGTGTGAAGGCACTTTTCATAGACTGCCTCTATGGTTGTAAATACAGGAGAAAGTTCTTCTGCCATGCTTGAGCCCTTCATTCATCTGTTAAAAAATAGTTTGCTTCATTAGTAAAAGTTCTTTCACACATCCTTGCTGGTGAGCAGCTCTCTAAATTGTCCCACAGATGACGGCGCACAGCCTAGAGTCTTGGAGGGCCAGGGAGGGGACAAAGGGGAGATACAGTTAAGCCTCAGAGACAGAAGGTCAATTAACGTGCCAGGACCTGAAGCTGAATAGCTGCAGTTCATCTGCAGGCTCTGTTCTGTGGATTATGTGTGGACAAATGAGAGTAATTACAGAGATTTTACAGGAACTCACAAAGCTCATTTATCTAAGTAGCAAGCATAGGTGATAAGACTGCAAGCAGTAAACAATGCAGAGTGACTGGATTAAAATAATAGTTTTTTAATGACTTATTTCCCTGTGATATAAAGGAAGATTATTTGACTGTGTGTGTGCTTGCTTTTTGCAGGAGGAGGTGTGCCCCACCTCACCAGGAGAGACGGTCCAGAGGTGTGTATGGTCATCAGCAGTCAATGTCAAGGATAAATTCATTTATGTGACACAGCCAACCTTGGATCGAGTGCTCATAGTGGACATCCAGTCTCAGAAGGCTATCCAGGTAATTTTCAGGCTAAATCGGATAACCAAGTTCAAGTCTATTTTGACAGCAACGCTGTAACAGTAGATGATAGGACAGAAAAAAATATTTTCATGTTTGTGCTTTTATAATAATAATAATAAAAAAAGGTTCTTTATCATAGAACTAAAAATCTGCCTGCATCTGTGCCAACAAATCTCAAGGTTGCAAGAAATCCCTTCCCTTCAACTTGTCTTGATAAAAAACTAACAAGGTTCCTGCACAGATTGAAGGCAACACATATCTTTGATAAATCATTGCTCATAAGAGTGTTTTCTGTGATTGATTTTGGTGGATGGAGGACACATTTTTCATCCAGTCATCATTTTGATGCAGGATTCATTTTGATACAATACATTGTCCTTCATCCACAAGTTATTACTCAGAACATTAGATTACATGCTCCAACTTTTCCAAACTGCATATGAACTTGGTAGACAACTAGTACATTAGATGTGCCTAGACCTAAAATATTCTACTTGAGTAATAATTTAGTAGAATACTAATACACAAGAGAGTGCTGTGGTGTGTTGGTACTGGCCCTGGTAAGCTTCAGATGTAGTCAGAAGGCTACATAAAACATGTCTCACAGCTCTTTGGCTCTCATTATGTTAGTAATGTAAACTTTAATTTCCTTTCAGTACCTTCTTATCCACACCTGATAAGCTCATTTATATATTCAAAGACACAGTTAAAGCCAATAATTGACCAATTCAACATGCTGTTCCACTCTTCCCCTCAGTCAGCTGTGTACAGATTTGGACAACCTTGGTGATCTGTCTGCTCTAATACTGCACTTGCCCTGCCTAGTGCTTACATTTGCACTGCAATAGATGCTTCAGAACTTCACATTTGCTGATGGGGTTTTAGATACAGCATACTGTATCTACTTAACAGCAACATGTGATTGTGTGGACTGGGTTGTTTTTATTCCATTTATAAAGCCTAAAACAAATCTAGTTAAATGTCGGTCAGCTGCGAGGAGGATCTGAGTCAATGAAGGACTAAGAATATACAGTACGTGTGTTCAAGGATGACGCTAAAGTGTTTTTCTTTATGTAACCAGTGTTCGCTAAGATTTAACTTTGGTGCAGGTAGTAAGTGTTCCTACTCTATATCCTGTACTTTCTACACTGAAAGTGGAAATGTGTCACGTTGTCTAGATTAACACCTGCAGCTTTTGGACACCTTAAGCCTACATTTTAGCATATATCTGACCAGTTTTATAATATGACAGTCTAAAGAACTGCCACTGGTAACTGTCTTACCTCTCCTTGTTCTTAAATATTTAGGTGCTAGGCTTCTCACTTTAAGCTGGCACTAACTGTTGTTTTTGCTAAATAAAATGATTATATCAGCTGTAAGAATTAAGTCTGAAATGGCTAAAATTAAACCTGGCTCTTGTCTGCAAGTCAGAGGGAACTTCAGGCTTACAACTTTTGCACCATTTATTTTATTGAGGGAACTTTGCTTTTGAAAAATAAGGTGTAAAAGTTGGTTTCACCTGGTATTCTAATGTGTTCAAAATTTCATGTCTGCTTGTCTCATTTTAAGGTTGTGAACATTAATCAGGCTATTTCTGGTTGCAAACAAACGCTGATAACAGATCTTACATTTTCAAGTTGGGTATGAATAATTTAACATTTTTAGATTTGATAAAGGGATTAAGAAAAAGAATTCAAACCCCAGCCCTAGTCTGAAAATTGACTGCAGGACTGTGGTCTTGTCCTGCATGTTTTTAGCTTTCTTACTTGTCTGAAAGCTGCTCTCTTCAACTTGCACCACTGTTCTAAAGTGCTGCTTTTTCACCTTTATTACAAGTGCTGACCTCTGACCTTCCTATTTCATACATACTGCAACTGTCAACACCTACACTTAACCTTCACATTGATATGGTGACCGAGTAACCTCAAGACACACCTCTTCATGGACATTGTAACCTGGCAACCCTTCAGAGGTTTTATAACATGGCAAACTCTGAAGTTTTCCTCACAGATGGTGTAAGAGGCAATCCTTTAAACACTGCTGCCTCGCAGCACCATTTATTTTCCTGAGGGAATTTTATTTTTGCGAGACACTGGCACCAGAAATCGTACACTTCCAACATGACAACAATTCTCGTGGCAGTTCAGTTAAATCATTGGTGTCGAGGGGTTTTTGGGTGTGTCAGTTTGTTCCAGGGTAGCTCAGATCCCTGCAGATGTTTTTGACATTGTGATGGCTGTTTACAGCTTACGAGCCCCTCAGGGACCTGCCAGTAAGCAGGTTGGTGTCCCAGCGACTGTCACAAGCTCATTATTCAGTCACCTGGAGGTTTATCTTCAGTGCATTATATGAGCAGTTGTTAATTAACCACCTGAACCCGTCTCTCATTTCAAATGGTAAAAGAGAGATGAGTTCTGGTTTCCCTGCTTTCCATTTTCTCATTGAAATATTAATATGATTGACATGTGAAGAGTTATTTTAGTGAGAAAACTGCATTCTGAAAAATTAAACCGACTGAACACTCATTGAAGGCTTTTTAATGCTCGGACTGTATTTTATGTGTTATAGCCAATCAGTTGCAAAGTGCACATGAATAAAGTTAGCAGCCATTTCCCGTGCTTCACCTCTTACAAATCTGTAGTTGTAGCTGAAGTTACAAGAGCAGATTGGATGAGGATCTTGATAATCTTCCTCAGCCAGAAAGTAGTTGTTAGTCAAGAGAAAAAGAACATGAACACCTGTTTTCTCCAATGCCTACATGCTCAGAGATTAGTTAGGATTCAACGGATATTCCCATCTTATCCATCTTATTTGCGGTAACCCTCTCAGGAGCTGTTTACTCTCAGTGAAACTATATACATTTTGCCTAGGTAAACAATACTATTAGTGCTACATAGCAAAACAAATATAGTAGAAAGTAAGCTGAAATCAAAGGGAATTGTGGGAATACAGGGTTGCAATAATTTTCTTGAGAGAAGATAATTGCTTTCTGTTGGCGTCATTGAGAGTGGCACTGCTGTATGCATTCCTCTCCCCCTTACTTGCCCTATTCCCTTTGAGCTGGTTGTCTCTCTGCACTCAGGTGGACATAATGCATGAGAAGCGCTTTTCTGTCACATGTGACTCATCTATTGTTCTGACTTGGAATATTGCCGCCATGCGTCAAGGAACAGATAAAGACTGAAAGCAATTACTTCAGTGTGGTAAAGCAATTGTATCTGTCAGCACTTGATTTGAAACTAGCTCAACACCAAAACACCCTATACATAAAAAGCACACCTCCACTTCACCTTGTTAAAACAAGACTTGCTCCTGTCAATGCTTGATGCATTAGTCTGCAGAGAAACTTTGCTAAAGCATTACCACGCACATCAAAAAGGAATCTCTTCAGAAGCAAGGTCTGGAGTACCTTGAATTGTTATTCTGTGGCCCTGCAGTATTTAAAGACTTTGTTTGGTTTGGTTGTGTCCCCTTATAGACGGTCAGCACTGACCCTTATCCTGTGAAGCTCCACTATGACAAATCTCATGACCAGGTATGGCTGCTCAGCTGGGGAGACGTAGAGAAGAACCTCCCTACTCTCCAGGTAAGTCCACAAGTCACTGCAATTCACTCAAATATTATTCCTCTGCAGAGTTATATTATACTTGCAACAGAGAATGTGAAAGTATGCCATGCCATGTAGAGCTCGCTTTACTGACTGTGGTAATTCAGAATGGATAGTCTTAGCTGACTGTAGCTAACTCGTGGCAGACCTAGAGAGCTACGAGAGCAACAGACTGAAAAATGACTGCACACTGATCTCGGTTCAGGAGCTAACACTAACCACTTTAGCAGATGTCAGCAGATCAAACAAACACTGTAGATGAATCCATCGCTGTCCTGTCTGTGCTCAAACTGAACACTAATGTGGACTTTTGGACATAGTTGACGCTTCTGCTACATATGTAGCTGTATGGGATAGTATTTATTTTTGTAAATTAACTTAGAGATGTGTGTAGTATATATCTCTATGATGGATAATGACCATGATCTTCCAAAATGGCGCATTTACCCAGAATTCAAGACGGCATGATGACAACTTCACATTCTCTATAGGGTGAAGCAGAAGACAATGAAGGATTCAAGTGCAAAGATACAAACATTCAAGAGACTGTTTGCATTCTTTAGAATTTGATCCAAGATCAGCAAACTGGTAGAACATTTGTGTTGCACATGTACTTGTGTCCTGTCCAAATTATTGACTGCTCTGTGTATAATTGATTGATAAAATGTCATGATGAAGATTGCATCTTCAAATAGGTACAACTCATTTCATGAAGGTGATAATATACAGTTTTTGTTGAAACTGTTTCAGAGGTGTTGATTCAGTGGTCTGATCATTTTGGAGGCTGTAGTTAATGCTGCTGTTGAACTGTGATGCATAAGATGGCGAGGCGGTTGTTTAACCGACCCCCAATCTCAATGTCCACACTCACAGATTGAGGCACATTTCCGCTGCCTCTGGGCTGTCCTACTGTACATGAGGGCTCTCTCGCCTTCATTTTGTGCCCTTTATGCTCACTTTCCATAAGTTGGCATTTCTGCAGACCTTACCTGAGGGAATTCCCTACAATTCATTGCATCCTGACGTGAAATATGGGATTAGCCTATCCAGGGACAGCTGGAAGTATAAAAAAGGTAAACAAATGCCATAAAACAGAGAAGAAAAATGAAGATGATGAACAGTATTACAAATGAACAATTATTCTTAAGTTAACTGATGTTATTCTGTTTTGTATGTTGCTTTGGACAAAAGCGTCTGCTAATGATGCTGTTTTGACGAAAACATTGATTAGGAAATTGACAATTGCCCCTCATCCACTCTGTAAGGCAAGAGCCTTAAATGGGGATATAAAAAGAAACTCTTGTCACTATAACCTAACACAGTTGAATGACACCACAAACTGCAACTTCCAAAATGATCTCACAGTTGATTCAGCACCTCTTTGAAATTGTTTCAACAAAAATGGAACATTATCACCTTGATGAAAGAGGATTTACCTCAGGACTATTGTCTTAGACTGGTGAGGTGTACCTAATAAACTAATGCGTGTATGCCAGTGTCTGTACCACATGTCAGCATGACACATATTTGAAGATAGTGCTCTAACTAGACTCAACTAAAGTGCAATGAAATGTTCATTCAAATCAGCCAGTCAATCTCTGAAGTGTCTCGGCCGTGAGGATAGTGTAAAGCGTAGAATAAAAAGGTCTAAACCCACAAAAGCTAGAACCATGGTGGCGTTTTGGCGTTGTCATGGTGATGCCTAAGTCACAAAGTGTTGTCCCATTCCTATTTTTACAGTTTCCAGCCCTTGCAGACTCTTGCACTCAGTCACTTACAGGTGACGACACAAAAGTCTTTGAGGGTTCAGGGCTTGAGACCTTAGGGAGGACATGGAGATTGGGCTCTAGACTCCTGATATAAATGGGGATATAAAAAGAAACTCTTGTCACTATAACCTAACACAGTTGAATGACACCACAAACTGCAACTTCCAAAATGATCTCACAGTTGATTCAGCACCTCTTTGAAATTGTTTCAACAAAAATGGAACATTATCACCTTGATGAAAGAGGATTTACCTCAGGACTATTGTCTTAGACTGGTGAGGTGTACCTAATAAACTAATGCGTGTATGCCAGTGTCTGTACCGCATGTCAGCATGACACATATTTGAAGATAGTGCTCTAACTAGACTCAACTAAAGTGCAATGAAATGTTCTGTAAAAGTATCTTTTAATTTCCTCTGAGAGTCATCTTGGTTCTGCTCGAATATTAGTGTTTTACTTGAAAATCCTGTTTGTCATCGCCTGCACAGAAATTCATAATGCGGGGTTTGGTCTGTGGCAATTTGCTTAGTGCATTGTGGCACAATCGAAGCAAACCCTGCCTACACACAATCATGTCTGCACACTTCCATGCATGCACAAGTAATATTTAGACACCAATGACAACAGCACATATTACCTCCCACAGAAAAGCTCCAGCATCTCAGCAATAAGAAATGAGGTTTAAGAGTTTTATTCCAAATCAGTGCGTAAAAGCAAATATAAGTAATTTAATTGAGAATAATGAAACCATTGCTAACAATTTAAAATGTTAACTGTGCAAGTACAGTATTATGCCTTTGGTTGTAAGCTATAAATAAGTGTTAGATGCAGACTTACATGGGAAGAAACCAGCAGCACTGAGTGTATTCATCGGGTTCATGTTAAACACCCACCTTCCTCTCTGGTGATCACCAGGTGATCAGTCAGGCCAGTGGAAGAGTCTCCCACCACACTGTTCACACACAGCCAGTCGGCAGGCGCTTCGACAGGGTGGACGACTTCTTCATTCCTGCCTCCAGCCTCATCATTAACCAATGTCTAGTATGATCCAAGAACACTCCTAATGTAAATGGATTTGCAAATTAAATTCACCCCACTGGCATTTTCTTCACTCTTTCTCTGAAAGTCAATGATGATTTGGATGGGCATTTTGTGTGAGAGTGAGTGTATGCTAATGAGGTTTTGGGAGAATAGCCCAGTGGTCATCTGTGCTGCAGACGAGTACAGGGCTGCTCACCTGAAAAAGTTGTAAAAATTAACCATTCTTGCTTGAGCTATGTTGAAATTAATGGTTTACATCTGAATGTTAACTGAACACTGTTTATTTTCTTCTTACATTACACATGATATTGCCTAGTTGTTTATCCAATTGTTCATTTTTTGTTTGCATAGTCAGAAATGTGCATTTTCAATTACATATATGTTCGTTGGTGAGGTTACACTTAAAGGTGGTGGGTGTAATGGACTAAGTTATATTGAGGTGTTTCTAATCTTTTGGCAGAATTACACCTCTGCAGAATATAATACAGTCCAGCACACCACCACTACTAGGAGAGGGACCTTTTGGTAAACTCACACTACAATTCAATTTGATTCCACTCTGCTGTTGTTCTGAGCAGAGTGCTCAGTGGTATTGCTTTTAAGGTTATGTCTGCAGTAGTGGAGAACATCGTCGGCTGCAGCATTACTACCACAGAAAGCTAGTGTTATCCAAAATGGACACAGGTCTGTAGAAACAAGGTCTTGTCTTTGTCCTACCAGTTTGAAGTGCTGTGGTGTGTCGCTGAGCTGCTTGTTTAACACGTTTGATGCCCCACTATGCTAACATCGGTGTGTCGCTGAGCTGCCTGTTTAATACGTTTGATGCCCCACTATGCTAACATCAGTCTGTTGGCGATGGGCTATGAAGTAACGTTATTCACACAGTTCTCCACACTTGTCTTTTAAAGCTCATTATCAAGTAATTAATACAAAAATAGATATATTCATTGTCTGAAAATGAACTAACGTTACAACCGTAGATATACTGTATATATACACTGTAGTTTTCTGTGTACAACACTGGCTTTGTTGTTCTGTCAACATTGTGACAAAAATCGATTTTTAGCAGTTGTCAACCGCTCTAGAATTGTAGAGGTTATGAATCGTGATTCTAATATGAATCCCGCCCCCCCCCCCCCACCCCTAACCACTACTATGACCTAAAACAATTAACACCTCTACAGCAACTGCACCATATACTGTAGGTATCAAAGTTGACATTATGGCCATATAATAATACCAGATAAAGCCATGTGTGTGTTTGTCTGTGTCACTCAGTTCATCGCTAACTGGTGAGAATCCTGAGACTGTGTTAAGCAGTGCACTCAGTAGCATCTGGGCACATTACTTTTACCACTAAAAGAAGAGTAAGCAGTATAATTATGTTGCTAAGTAAATGCTGATGAACACCATTTGGACCGAGCAGCCTTACCTTTAACAGCTTTAACATTTTAAATGCTGTACAGGTTGTATGAGTTCCTTTAAAAGAAAATAAGATTAACTGAATCAGCTATAATGTTGAAGCTGCTGCCATTTTATTTTTACAATACTGTTGATAAACCTGAAAGGAAACAAGTTGGGCACAGCCCATGCTGCCTCAGCAGTGATACTGAAGTTCCCTGAGAGATATATAGGATACAGCTCCTCTGTCAACTGAGGTATGAAGAGTTATGACCCTGTGACATCACCTGTCATTTAAGCACCGCCTACTTTTCCGCACTTCACAAAGGCCGTCACCTTTTATGACTCCTAATTACATACTACAAATGATCAGTGTTAGATTTTAACTTCGAAACAGTTTATTATACATTTGACAGAAAGTTAACCACCAGAACTTGTGATTTTATAACAGCATTAAAGGATTTGATTAGGGTTTCCCAGGGGCAATGGGACCAACCAACACCCTCAGGTTAGGGTTATTACATCAAAGGGATTTGATTTGGGTTTCCCAATACGACTGACCAACACCCCAGAAGACAGTTAGTTGGTCTCTAAATATTGACAGGTGTAATGATTGTTTCTAAATAATTATGCTTAGGAAAACTGGCTGATTCACTAAAATAACCCACTGGGTCTGGGTAATATTAAACAAATCAAATATTTTAGAAAGCTTTTAACAAAAGGCTTACTTTTATTACTGACAGCATTAAGTTCCATATGTAATGAGGGCCCAACAAACCAGTGGTGATTATCGGCGTCTCTCCCCGACCATCCCCGTGTTACAAGCGAACGGAACATCCACAAATACTGAAATTAAATCCAACAGGTACCACAGGTCCAATAGCAGGGACCTGTTTCCCCAGAGAGGAGCGAGTTACAAAAGACTTGCACCCAGGCTTCTACACTGTCCCTCAGCTGTGCTTGGTAGGTAAAGGTGCTGCCTGGAGAATAGGAGCACCCAACATCCTGGCAGTATTTTGTCACTGTATTTTATTCTGTAGGCTTCCGGATCATGCATGAACACACCCGAGGTTACGGTAGCCTCTACGTTAAGCAACAGTCTCTGTAACAGTAGCTCAAGCCAAAATGACCACCAGGAGAGGTCCCAGGTCAACCCCGAGGTGTTGACACCAGGCCCAGTTTTCTTCAGGATGTAGCCATAACTGTTGAAGATATGTTAAATCTGATTATATTATATTACTTATTATGCATGAGGGTGTAAAGAAAAATCCTTTGAAAAATGATCAAAACCTCTGTGGGCCATACCCTACCTCTTCAAAAAATGTAATCCAAATCTATCCATTACTTTTTGAGTTATGCTGTGAGCAAACGAATCAAAAAACACTGGTAAATACATTAACTAGAGGGGAACAGTTAACACCTCACATTCTCTTGCAACATTTTAGTTAATCAACAACTGAGTACAGACATGCTGAATGCAAAGTGTATCGAAACCCTGCTGAGCTTTTCACACAACATGAGCAGTTGTCACACTCAGGCCTATTAACATGAACAGAGAAAACTGGGTCCCAGATGCTTGACTAATGTCGTGGAGAGGCCAGAACCAAGCAGGAGGTCTGGGTGTTTTCAGGATGTTAACAGTCTCCTGGAGAAGAGGAGGAGTAAGCAGTCCAGTGTGGCATAGCTGTAATTAGATCCACTGAGATCTGAAGGAAGACTGCAAGAAAGTGTGGCTTTTTTATTTATTTATTTTGGCATTGTTGCCAGCTACAGTAGTTGCTCATCGTTTTTGATGTTCTTAAACATCAAGTTTACCGTTTGTTACCGATTCAGCTGGGTCTGCTCATTATGAATGTACTTTACATGGCTAAAACACGAAACGCAATTACCTTCACACAGGCTGGAAGTTGTACAGCTCACTAATTACACAAAATGGCCTGTCAGTGTGCTACAGTAGTTTAAATGAGTGCTTGCTGCTTTCATGTATACACCACTGAGATTAAAATGCTTTCTCGCGGTATAGCTGCAAAGCTGCGGACAGGCTCTTAACTAGAACTGATATCAGGATGGGACAGTATTGATAAAGCTGTAATTTTTAGGGCTGCATTTAGTTTTCATAATGCATTACTCAGAAAACTGTCTGAGAATGTCCATTACACTTTCTCATAGCCCAGGAGGATTTTATCAATTGTCTTGCTTGCCCGACCAGCTGTCCACACCCCAAAAGAATTCTGCTTTTTATTATCAATTAATCTGATGTTTCAGTGTATTAAATGACATAAAATTAACAAAAAGCTCATTACAAGTTCCTTGAGCCCAAAATGTTTTCACACTGCTCATTTTGACTGTATATATTTCTAAAAGATTTCCCATTTACGACCTCAAAACATAGCAAATAGTTTAATCCTTTATCAGAAGAATAAATACTATCCCATACAACCATAGAGCAGATGGTCTGAGATCAGTCTGAGCACAGACAGGACAAACTTATTTATCTACACTGCTTGTATTGATATCAGCCTGATTATCTGCAGGCAGCTGCTAGTTAGCGTTAGCTCTCAACAGGAAGAGACTGTGTAAAGTAGAATCCGCACACTGTTCACTCGACTTCCACATCCTCATACCTCACAGCTAGAGATAATTCTTCAACAAAGTGAACCGAGAGCTCAAATCAGTCATTTTTCAGCCTGCCCCTCTCATTGACAAGGATCCCAAGGTATGCTATGAGATAGACAGTCAACAAACATCCTGAGTCACAACAGACCCATGAGCTGCAGCACATGTATGAGACTGTCCTGACTCAAATATAGCCATATAACATAGCCAGCTATCATCTACTCTACGTCACTTTAGAAGTTAAAATAATCCATTTCTGCACATTGTAACTGATCGTTTTCCACAAAATAGGCATCTTACACACCATGCAGTCCAAACTGAGCCACTTAAAACAAGTAATCTCTCCATTAAGCACAGATGATTGTGTTTACTGAGAAAAGGTGCAAATCCAAAGATCGATCTCTGGATTTTAAGAATTAATGTGAATTGTTCAAAAAAGATTCACAATTAATATGTTTATCCAGCCCCACTCCTGTTTAAAGCTTCAGTGATTAGTTTATTATTCAGTTTATTTAAACTAAATAATTTTCTTTCAAGCAAAAATGCCAAATATTTAATGTTTCCAGCTTCTCAGATGTAAAGACCTTCTGCCTTTTTGTCATTTACATTTATGATAGTAAATAAAATATAAAATATCTCAGGGTTTTGGACTGTTGGTTGGACAAGCAACGTGAAGACAGTTTCCTTGTGTTTTTAACAATTTATTTTATACACCAAACTATTAATCAGTCAGGAATATAATTGAGACTAATTAATAATGAAAAAAATTGTTAGTACTGCCCTGTTGTCTTACACTATATTATGTTGTATACAGTAAGTGGTCTTAATATTTGGTCACTCAAGGTTTCCTTCAAACAAACAATTCTTTGATTTACTGCATTTAGCTGAATGCAGATGGTGTTTGTTGAATCACCATGTAGATTTGTTACATAATCATAATTAAGTGGTATAGCCTATTCAACATCTGCTTTTATTGCAGATATTAGGAAAGCTTAAATTAACCGATGTCTTGTGGCTGGGGTTTTTTTTTTTTTTTTTTGACCCCCAACGTTTTTTTGCCGG